TATTCCCTTTTTATTGCAATAGAGTGAGCAGAACTGCAGCGTGCTGTTCAATCTATGGGTTTATACAGTGGTACAGAATAAACAACACCGTTTTCTGTGTTGTTTTGTATAAGTTTCCCACTAATTGCTGGATGAAACGTCCTAGTGACTCTGATACACGTGGAATATACCTAAGGCAGGGGCGTGTACACAGGCAGCAGCCTGGGTTAACCCAGATAACACAGCCAGCATCACCAAATCAGCCCTGTGGCACACAAACTCTTCTGCAGGTCTGGAACAGAAGCAGAAGTCTTCGGAGTGCAGTATGAGTAATCCTGAGTTTAACAGGACTCTCTTACGTACCCAGCGCGTGAAAGAAAGTCTGTGATGTGATATGTGGGGAGTGGGAGAAAGGTGTTACTAAAGGGGAGAGGTCATCACTTGCTACTTAGGCACTTTGAATGAGGAGATCCTCCTGCAGATTCTTCACAATAAAGACCGACTGTCCTAAACAGTCATCACCCACAAGCTCCCTCTTGTCAGTATTCGCTCCCTTTCCCAGATCACTTATGAGCATGTTGAACAACGCAGATCCTCAGGGAAATCCCTTGATAACCTATTCCCATTATGAAAATTATTTATTTCTTCTTACCCGTTGTTTCCCATTGGTAACTATTGATGCAGAAGTGCCCTTCCCCTTTTACTACAACTGCTCCAATCCCAGAAAAGCCTTGGCTGAAAGGCAATTCCAAAAGCCTATGGAAAACACAGCCTGCACCAGGGACCAGGTCACCCCATCAGAGTGGGCACCTTCACTTTGAAAGAACTTGACTAGCTATAAGGCAAGACTACAGTCTTGCCAAAACCAAGTTGTCTTGGTCCCCAATATATCATGGGTTTGTTAATTATGGTCTTCATAAAAAAAAAAAAGTTTAAAAGTTTTTCATTCCTTAATTAGATTTTTAAAGGGCTCAGGAGATGGCCCAGGGAACTTACACACCAGGACATCTGGCTTTTGTATTGGGCACGCTGGTAGAGATTATAATTATATTATAGAGATTATAATAAAGGAATCTGCCATGCCTTAAGGGCAAATTTGCCATTCCTTAAGTCATGAGGCGGACTTGAGCTGCTGGTGGCACAGCAAGAACAGCCTGGTAGTTCCCTGCCTGAGTTTTGTGTGACCTCCAAGTCTGGCTGGTGTGTTGCCTGTGAATTTATTGATCTGCTTAAAACCTCTCCGTGGCCTCAATATCTAATCTGTTACAGGGCAAAATTCATTAATGTTTGTACAGCTCATCAAGATCTTTCATGAGCAAATCCCATCATGTTTTAATATTTTTTTTTAAATGTCACAAGTAAGTTCTCATTACTCATTGAAGAGCTGAAGCAAACAGCGCTTGCCAGACCCAAATACTGGAACAGCAAAGGCTGCAACTCTCTTTGTTTGCCACTTTTAGGACACTTCCATTTCAGCTTAAACTCCCTGCCTTGATTCCGCTCCTGCACATCAGAAGGACTCCCCCGGCTTTTCCAAAAGTTGGCTCAGGGATCCCCATGGACCCTTGGCCCTGGGCTTTTAAAAAGATGCCTGGTAGCTCCACGGGGGTCTTGAGAGTTGCTGGTCGTGGTCACTGTTAGTGACCCTGGCTTTGCAGTGTGAGATGCCAGCATGAAGAACACCAATGGATGGATGAGTGTATCCAGCAGGTGTTGGATCACACAAACCCAGGCAACCTTCCCAAAACCCTTCACCTTCCAACCCAGCGTGGTGTTTTGTCCCCCTCCAATGGTGCTTGTACGTTACTGCACACCTGCTGGTGGGTTTGGCAGTCGGGTCCTGGGCTACTGTGACCAAAACCACGTGCACTTCTGTTCAAGTGGCCTAAGTGGCATTTTTCCCAATGATCTCAGATGTGGTCTGGGCATCCGTGGGAGCTTCACAATGAACTTGCATTTCCCCTTGTTTTTCCTGCCAGGATGTCTGGAAGAGACATGGCCAAACCCCTCCTGGGCCATCGGAGCGTGGAGGGTGACCCCAGCGTCACGCCTGCGGCCGGCCGCACCGTCGGGGTGCTGGGAAGCGGGGACTTCGCGCGGTCGTTGGCCATCCGCCTGGTGTGCTCCGGGTTCAAGGTGGTGGTCGGCAGCCGCAACCCGAAGCGCAAAGCTGGCCTCTTCCCTTCTGCAGCAGAAGTCACCTTCCAAGCTGAGGCAGTGAAGAAGACAGATGTAATTTTCGTGGCGGTTTTCAGGGAACATTACTCCACCCTCTGTGACCTGGCTGATGTGCTGGTGGGCAAGATCCTGGTGGATGTTAGTAACAACACCGAGATCAACCACCACAAAGAATCCAACGCCGAGTACTTGGCTTCCCTGTTCCCAGCTTGCGCCGTGGTCAAGGGGTTTAACGTGGTTTCTGCATGGACACTGCAGTCAGGTGCCAGGGATGGAAATAAGCAGGTACTGTTTTCTTTTGACAAGGGCCAGATCCCAACTGCTTCAGCAGCTGAGGTCTGGCAGCATCAGCAAACGGCCTCAGTGGTGGCCGTGGCATCCAGAGACCACCCTATAGCTTCTGTGTTTCTTTGCTCAGAAATGCAGTACCCTCACTTACTTCACACTTTGGAGCCTTTGGAGCCTCTAAGTGAAGAGTGTTATTTAATTGTGTGTTTATCTAAACACAGCCAGTGAAACAAACTGGTGGTGCACACATGAAAGGAAACCTGTCGTGGTACCTCCCCGTCAGTGCGCCTGCCGGGAAGCGTGATGCTCAGTGGATAACGCCGGCTCCCGTTAGCACAGCATCTCTCCCCCCACACTAGTTCCAAGCAGCCTGATCTCTGCCCTATGTGTATGTTTCTGTTCATTGCAGGTTCCGATTTGCTCAAATAACCAAGAAGCCAAGCGTACCGTAGCAGAAATTACTCAAGTCATGGGATTCACCCCTGTGGACATGGGCTGCATGTCGTCAGCCTGTGAGATTGAGAACATTCCCCTGCGCCTCTTGCCAGCCTGGAAAATCCCCATATTTTTGGCTCTGGGGCTCTTTCTTTGCTTCTTCACTTACAACGTGATCCGGCAGGTCATCCACCCTTACATCAGGGAGCAGAAGAACAAGTTGTACAAGATCCCCATCGAGGTGGTCAACACAACGCTGCCTTGCGTGGCCTACGTCATGCTGTCTCTCGTCTACCTGCCCGGGGTGCTGGCAGCCTGCTCGCAGCTCTACTACGGCACCAAATACAGGCGTTTTCCAGATTGGCTCGACCAGTGGCTCCAGCACCGAAAGCAGATCGGCCTCCTCAGCTTCTTCTGTGCGGCTTTGCATGCCGTGTACAGCCTCTGTCTGCCCATGCGCCGCTCCCACCGCTATCAGCTGATCGAGACGGCCGTCAAGCAGGTAATGTGGGTGCTTTTCGGGTCGGCACCTGTAGTAATCGTGTACACGTATCCAGATGTTGGGTAGTGGGCTTAATATCTTGACTCTTGCATTCACTTTCCAAAGCATGTGTGGGACGGTGGGAACAAGCTGTACCCATACAAGCACTTCTTCCACGAGGCAGCTGCCCACCGCGTACCAGGCACGCGCTCAGCTGCGCCGAGGACCAGCCATCTTAGCGGGGTGCTGCCCGTGCATTTCCAGCCAGGGCTAGGATCCAGCTCCCCCGTGCCGCTGCTCCCCAGAAGCACAGGCAAGCGGAAGCCAGCCTTGCCCGGCACCTGGCGTGTCTGAGACTAGGGCCGAGGCAGGAAAAATGCCAGGAGGGGAGAAATCCAGCGGTGGAGGGGAGCAGAGTTCCCCTCAGCTTTTCTCCCTAGGTTTTGGGAGATCCTCGTTTGCTCACACTGACGTTCACAGTAGGTGCGTGCCGGAGCGATCAAGTCATAACGCGGGGAGGGGGTTGTTTCGCAGGAGGTGTGTCCTCATCACAGTGTGCACAAGCTTTCCGCAGCCGAGTGGGGAGCCAGATTAAGGAATTGCCCCGTAAGCAGTCTGCTTTCTGCGCTGAGATATCTCCCCAGTGCTTCCAAATGCTTGTCCCAACAGAGGGGAGGGAAGGGGCCGTGGGGCGGCGGGGAGCGGGACGGCTGCTGTCGGCAGCAGTGCCTCTGCAAAGCATCCGCCAAACGACATCCCCAGCCTCGAGCAGGTCCTTCTCCATTGCCAGTCACCCATTAATCTCAGGCGAGCATCCTGTGTTCATTTCCCCTCTACCTCCTGTTTTCTAGCAACATCTTTGTTTAGTAAATTAAACCCATTTAATGGGATAAAGAGGACGGTTCTAAATGTTGCTCTTTGCCATGCAGCATAAAACCCATCTTCCCTTCCATTAGCATGAACAATTTCCCCCCTAAATGCACTTAAAATGAAGGTTATTAGGAGACTACTGCATATTCAAGCATCTGTATTTGTTTTCATGGCTTTAAACTGACTTCTCATTCTAATTGTCTTTCCAAATGCGACTTTGGGGCTTGCTGCTGTGGTTACAGGCTGTGGGGGCTGAGAGCATTCAGCAGTTCTTCCCAGCAGGCTTCAGATCTGGTCTAGCTTGGCCAAACAGCAGTGGGATAAAAGAGCATTTTCACACCTCCCAACACAGGGCCAAATAGCTCCGGAGGTGTGAACAGGACCCAGTGTTCATCCAAGAAACTTGCTTCTAAAACCAAAACGAATACAGATAAAATTCAGTTCCTCTATTCCTAAGCGCTCCATTTTAACAAACCTTCGTTGTCGTGCCAGGCTGTGGAGAAGAAGATGAATATCTGGGTAGAGGAGGAAGTCTGGAGGATGGAGATTTATATCTCTGTTGGAATAATTGCCCTGGGCTTGCTGTCGTTACTTGCCATCACCTCACTTCCATCCATCGCAAACTCTCTCAACTGGAGGGAATTCAGTTTCATTCAGGTAAAGTTGACATTTGTGATGCCAGAGAGTGATTTTGCAGTTGGAGCCAGGCCCTCACGCAGGCCATGGAGGGCAGAGGTTGACCTGCCGTCCCAGCACGTCCCTGCTCCGGCACGACCACCGCAAGCTGCACACCGGTGTCAGGGACA